AAAGAAATTCAATGCTTTCAAACGTTATATTGAAAACTATCGAATGCACATATTCTGGATGACATTGTATTTACTCGTTTTATTGGGGATATTCATTGAAAGGGCATACTGTAAGTATATATATGTTTGCTTACTTGCGTTAAATATATATGCCAAAGATTTATACTTAACATGCACTGACTTGGTTACTTTCATAATTGTCATTAATGGTGATTTTTTGCAGATTACTCTGTTGAGCGTGAGCATGCTGGTTTACGTCGCATTGCCGGATATGGTGTGACGGTTACACGTGGTGCTGCTAGTGCTCAGATGTTTACGTATTCCACCTTACTGGTAACCATGTGTCGAAATACTATTACATTTTTACGAGACACAGTATTGAATCGTTATATTCCCTTTGATTCGGCCATCACGTTTCACAAAGTGGTCGCTATGTTGGCTTTATTCTTCACTTGTAAGTATTCAATTCATGGACATTAACTCTTTAAATGCCATTGTATTTCCTGTCAATAACCCTAACCCTAACTCTTTAAATGCCATTGTATTTCCTGTACATATTTTGTATATTTTTATTTCTACTGAATAGGTGATTTTCTGTACAATTGCTAGATCTCGTGAGATGCATGAAAGATGCGCGTCGAACGTCTGCTGCAAATATTGAACGATTTGATTTTGAACTAGAATTTCTTTATTTCGTAGCTTACATTGACCGGCCAATCTTCGACAGAGGAATATTGCTTCCGAATACCCTTACTTAATCGAAATTGTCTATCATCAAATGTGGACAGCACATTATTAAGCATGGAAATGTCCCCGAAATACTTTCGCGTTTGTCGAATCCCACGCGATGTTTGACGCGACTACGACGCTATGACCTTTGTTTGTCCTGTTTTTACGTTCGATTTCACGCATAACACGTGATTCTCGCAGTGTTCGGAAAATGGTCTATTGCTATGATGTCCCATTGGCTAAAGGAATCGTATGTTTGCAAAGTGGATTAATAATTGGGTATTGAAGATTTGTGTGATGAGATCTTGAGATGTCCTGACAAAAATGATTTTGATTTGATGAATTTGATTCATGATTCAAGTCACTTTATGAGATATTTGTATATTTTTCTTTCCAGTACTGCATACTATTGGTCACAGCATTAATTTCTATCATATATCATCCCAGCCTGCCAATGATCTGACCTGCTATTTCAGAGAATTTAAACACTTGTAAGTTCACATCAAATCATCTCTTACAAATGCCAGGTAGGACACTAGTAAATACATGTAGTACGGTAGTGGCCATATTGGTGGCATCATGTTTCTCCACCAGGGGGCAACATGTTTCATGATCAAGAGATGTTATGTTTCACGACCAGGGGGCAGCATGTTTCATCACCAGCTGATGTTATACGTTGCTTCCTGGGGGTGTTACCGGTATATTTTGTTTCATTAACTGAATTTTTTTTCAATATTAGTTAACTTGTATTAAATATCAGGTTTAATTTTTTTCTAGATCACATGAGCTACCGAAGTTTCATTATTGGTGTTGGGAGACTATAACAGGTAATAGCTTTAGACTGTTCACCTTGTTTACTATTAATGCTAGTACTGTCTATTGTAATAAGGATGGCGGTGATTGAGCTGGCTCTATTTCTATTTTGAGCTGTCTTTCACTGACTTTAGACTGTTAGCAAAAAAAAAGATGTAACATGATAAGGTATTCATGAGAATGAGAATACCGTTACACGTATACCATAACATGCTGCCTTCATGTGTTTTTGTGGTATTTTAATTACTTGTAATGTACTTGTAATATCTGTTTTACAAAGTAAAAATTGTTAATTTTATGTTTCTATTTCTGTTCTAGGCCTTACTGGTGTGGCACTTTTACTTCTAGTGTTCATTATGTATGTCTTTGCGACACAGTATGCTCGTCGTCACGTCTTTACCTGGTTCTGGAACACTCATCAACTCTATGTACTTCTATATCTACTCATGATATTACATGGCTGTGGTCGACTTGTGCAGTTCCCAATCTTTTATCTTTTCTTTGTTGGACCAGCTGTTCTATTTACCTTTGACAAACTGATAAGCATTAGTCGCAAGAAATCTGAGATTGCTGTGGTGAAAGCTGAATTGTTGCCTTCAGGTAGGCTTATCTTCTCAATTTTAGTTTCTTGTCTATTTGTGTTGGCAGCCATTTTCATTCTAAAAACACAAAATGCTAACTTGTTTTCAACAATGAGTCTCACATGCCACGGTGAACATCATATATGGTGGGTAACTGACAGTATTGGTTTGTTTCATATTGGACATTTTATTTTATATTGAACCTGTCCACATTCTGGAATTGATTTTGTTTATGGGCAAGACATTATGTCAAATATTATTATTATATTTCAGACACTTGAGCAAACAAATATAAATAAATAAATAAACGAACCAACAATAGAGAGAATGTACATATGAACGAACAAACGATAGCGAGAGTGTACATACATGTACATATGAATGAGAGAATGTAACAAGAACAATAAATAAATAATATTGTAAAATTGTATGCAATTATAGAAATTAATTTAGACACGTCATTTCAGTTTGGGATTGGATTGGATTGCCAGTTGACCCCCGCTCGTTTTTATGTCCTAATTTCAGCCAATAAAGGGAATTTGCATCTTTTTTAAATATTTTTTCACTTTTTTCACCTTTTTCACCTTCATAGAGGTAACTAGCCTTGTGTTCAAGAGACCTATTGGATTTGAGTACAAGTCAGGACAGTGGGTTCGGATAGCTTGTATTGTACTTGGTGATAATGAATACCATCCATTCACATTGACATCAGCACCTCATGAAGAACATCTCATGCTACATATCCGTGCTGTTGGACCTTGGACAACTAATATTAGACAAACTTATGATCCAAATGTTGTTCGAGATCATCCCTTCCCAAAGGTGAGAGATATTAACA